AACGCTTTTGTTCAAGTCAGCAGCAAAAAATTTCTTTGTTACTGATATAAAACCCAGTTAAAAACATTACAAGCATTAGTTACTAATTACTTCATAAAAGATTTAAAGGCAAAACATAATAGATAAGCAACAGATATTCATGGTTGGTATTGCATACATTACCTTCTTATTATCTAAATGCTCCTACCCGAATTTCTCCTTTGCTACTACTTGTCCATGGGCACTGTGCAAGCTGCCTGTTCTTCCTACACACCACAGCTGGCACTTCTCATACATCCTGATCCACATCATTTCCACGTGCCATCTACAAGCAAATGAATGCAAATAGAGCATTTTGGAATTGAGAAGTCATGTTAAAGTGGAATCAAGATCCATTTTAATTTGCAGATTTTCATTGCAGCCTGGAGTATAAAAAGTTCAAGAAAAGACATATTTCCCAGCATAAACTTTCTTGGTAAGGACAGAGGTGAAAAAAACACCCTCAGGCAGACACCATATCATGTAGCCTTTAGGCTGATTCTGCCACCAAGATCTTCTGATGACAGAAGTAATATTAAGCAAACTGATGAGCAGAAAGTTAGAAAAGAACACATTTTTACTTTCTAAGTGATACGAAGAAAGTGAAAAACAAGGGCCACACCTTGCCAGTGCCTTTCTGAAGAAGCATCTAGAGAGAACTCACAGGCTGGTGAAAGCTGGATTACTGGATTGGTTTGTTATGGAGGATTTCTTTCCACAAAGGTTAATAATCACCGTATGTAGAGAAATACACCTGTAGGATATAGGTGATTTATAAGGCATTTAAATATTCTCTATTTACAATTCATTTACATAATACAAATGCTTTCATTTCACTCCTTTTCACTATTTATGATCTTATTCCAAAGAAAGCAACAGAATAAGCAAAACTAAAACATCAAGCATCTGTGATGTTTTTCATTTACGTGAAAACAATCTCTCTGGCTCCTGAATTCAGTACTTTGGTGCTGAGGTGAAGGACCAAGCCTTTCTGCCAACAATTTCAGTTTTCTCAATATTGTCTTACTCACCAATATTTTTTCCTGGAATTTTCAAACTGACCAGATGGATTCAAAGTGCACCACACTACACACCAGACGGCTGAGACCTTGCTCCACTTGGGTAAATATCCCCTGGCAGTGTTCTTCCCAGCATTTTGGAAGCAAAGGAAAAAGATCAGCTTCTTTCTCCCAGCACAGGAAAACTGCTAATATGGTTGTCTGTCATCAAACTCCTTAAGAGAAGAACTTTTCATCCTAAGGAGCTTTTGCGCTGCAGTCATGTCCATCTATTGGGTGAATTGTTTTATCTGTATTGATATATCATATATAGATACATCAAGATGTATCACTCTTATACAGGCTACTTCTCAACGTGAAGAGAATTTGCAATTAATGAATTGCTGTCACGTTATCTATAAAAACTGAAAATAGCAACCTGAGCACTAATAAGGAATGTTCAAGTCCACCTCTGGGTCTTTTCTACATAATTCATTGACCATAAGCAATAAATTGCTTTTAAATTTAAAAGAAAGACACAATTTTGGAAACACTTTCTTTTTCCCCTTTCCCCTTTTTTTTTTTTTTTTCTTCCCCACATGCATTTGTATTTGACCCTCTGAGGGAGGGAAAAAGATATCCAGACTATAAGGCTTCTAAAGGAACTTATTCTAACTTTGAAGTAGTGCATTGGGAGCTCATCCAAATGATTCAGTGGAAGCTTCAAATGGCTGTTATTCACCTTAGGTACAGACTTTAAATAGTAGAGAATTATAAGAGTAAACTAGGAAAGCTTAAGTAGTCTAGAAAAAAATACACAACACAACACACACACACACACACACGCACACACACAAACCAACCCAAACAAACAAAAACAATAAGAACAAACCAAGCAAATACCAAGAGAAGATAAAAATGGGACTAGACCTCAGATTTAAACAATCATCATCAACTTCAAAAGCTAGAAAAATAAGCTATCTTAAGGTCTTCTCCTGAGATACCTGTCTTGTCTTTCTAAGGAACACTTTATATAATTCCTATGGAAGATGACATACTTACTATCCTATAGATATTTAACCATCTTCGGGGAACCCATTTACAATGGTCATAATTTAAATTCTTTTTTTCTCATTTTTTGGTCAGACATCCAGATCAGCTGTACACACCCCATCTCCACAACAAAATCGTGCTTTCACCAATTTCCTATTGACTGGATCTTCCCAAATTCTCATCTGGGACAACTCCCCTGTAAGTACAGCAAATCAGAAGAACAGATTTCAGTGACACCTTCAAGTTACTGCTGGACATGCTGTGTTTGCATGGGAGTTTTAGTAAAAGCAGATCATCTAAGGAACTGCAAAATGATTGATTATCTTTAGAAAAAGTAAACAAGTTCTTAAAACGCAACACTGGTTTAGACTGAAACAAAAAACCCACAAAACCACAGTAGTAGGTGTAAGCAAACACAGCATAAGCAAAAAGTCGAAGCGTTGATCAGAATTGGGGAGAAGAGGAGCTGCATTACAGACAGAGGTATCAGAGCCTCTCAGAACAACACTTGCAGAAAAAGCCTCCAGACAGACAGTGCCAAGACCATTAACAGTCTTTACTTCTATCAGTTGTTTCACAGCACAATGAGACACAGCACATATTTGTACAGCGGGATCTGCAGACAATTTAAAAACAGGCAATTCTCTTTAATAAAAAGCAGCAAGTCTGAATGTGAAAATATGAAGACAAACAATACTGCTGATAATGATCACCTTATTTTCTTTTGATTGTCTAAGAAGTCCAACTCACTGGCTTCTTCAAGTGCCTTTGCTCTGTACCGCGTTCTCCAACCATCCTAACTAGTGCAAATCTGAATGGGTCCCAGCTAGTATGGGCAGTATGGGTCCTAACCTTCTCATCTTGTTTCAAAGACCTGTTGCGGTGTGTGGTGAGATGCAGTGACTCATCATACAACATTTTGATTCACAAAGAAGCAGCGTGAGAGTTGTACATAATTTAATTTGCACTTCCGTATATAAATGTTTACTATATTGCACACTATTGCAGCACTTAAAAACATCTAATTATTTGCAAAAATTAGTAAAATACTTTAAAGGATTTAAAAATAAGGGTTTTAATGCAACTGACAAGATAATAAAAAAGCAATTTACTTAATGAGATACAATCCTTTATGTTGGAAATGAAAGTTACATACAACTAGAGTACAATTAAAATATACCATATAGTTCAACACTTAATTCCTCAAATGTGTAAAATTAACAAGCTTCTACTGTCATAGATATACAATTTTTCCATATTGTGAAAATGATTTTTCAAATTAAATACAGGTAACATAATATTCTGCAGTTATATTTTATGACTGTGTTTAAATGAGAGGGTTGTATAATACTCACATTGTCAAATGTATTCACTAATGCCTTGGAAATTGCACACTTCCCCTCCTTTTCCAAAATAGAATCTCATTTCCATACTGAAGTCTATTATGCCATATTGGAAAAGTATTTTACTTTCTAACGGGATTTTCATAAAATTAAAAAATACCATAATATCATGGCATTAAGATGACTTTCCCACTTATGCCCACGTAGATTTATTCTGGATATCAGACAGACACGTCAGAACCAATTTCCTAGACTTTTGTCTTATAGTACACGCAAGATGATTGATTACAGTATTTTACAAAACAGAAAATCTCTGAATCTTACCAGAATTTTTCAATGACTAAAAATTAAAATCATAACAGAATCAAATTGTGATCTCCAACATTTATTAAAATCTTTTAAAGTTCATAAACGACAACAAAGTTACTGTAGAATTTATCGCATACAGCTAGCATACAGCAGCATGTCCTTGGTCTAAATGAAATACAAAAGATCTTAACATTTTCATACAAAGGATTTCTTTAAATTTATTAATGTGACGACATATCTTTGTTACATAAAATTTGCTACAGCAAAGTATCTTATACTTTTCTTGCAAATATGTAAATATGGGTGGACAAAGACTGCATTCAGTATCAGCCTCCTAAAGATGTTGTGCAAAAAATGCTCAACAACCTAAACAGAGAATGTTTGATGGTACGCCTCATACTCTTTTGTAAAATGTCTACAAAGTCTTTTCTTAAAGGAGTGTCATACAGTTTAAAAGGAAGGAGTGTCAGTGGTTTATTTTCTCTGACATTCAAACAAATGCAATGGCTATGAATCAATAGAGCTCAGTTTTATTAAAAACAATTCATCCTCGTATGCAGGTAAATTTGTCATGAAGTATAAGTCTAGTTTAAACTGTTTTGATGCGCTGTTTTAAGACAGGTCATTGAGAGAGCCAGAATCAAGTGTACAAATAAAACTACTATGAATAAGTTTAAAAGCAACCCCCAAAAAAGTGCTGAGCCACTGATTATTAACATTGAAATAAATGTGTGAAAGTGCCCAAAGCTAGCACATGACAGCAATATCTTTTAAGTCAGTTGGTGAGAGTATACAAAACATAATTAAGCCCAAATGCTTATATCTGTGTGACCATACATTCCGGTTGATTGAAAGAAAGTAGGTTAAAAATGTAACACAATGTAACTAAAATAAAACCAGCTGTTGCAGTTTCTAAACTTTGTCTCTTTTCTTCATGAATGAAGTGCTGTAATTAAAAAGAAAGTGATTGTAGCAGTACTCCATCCTCAGTTTACTAATATAGTATACCAGAATAAAACTTGGCAATAACCTCTTATTCTTAACAGCTAACAAAAAATAACCGTGTTCATCCAGCAATGCATCTAGAACATTATTTTGCATTTGCTAAACCATTTGCTTTTCACAAGCCAATGGCAGAGCACATTTTACTTTTTGTGGTTTTTTTTGCTTTAACATCATTTTCTATTTATTTATTTATTTTTTTTTAAAGGATGCCTTTAAAAAAAAATAAATCAAAAAAGGCTTAAAACAAAGAATACTTTGGGAGCCCAAATATTGGCTAAGAAAAAAAAAAAAAAAAAAAAGAGTCATTCTCTACAATACTGACCAAAACTTCCTTTAAGAGTTTAGGGTTAATGTTCTTTAAAAAGTCATTTCATATGGCCAACTGAAATGCTGGTAAGTTGACTTGGTTAAATATGGTCCAAAATCCAGACCAGATGGAATTACTCCCTCTCTTGAGACTGTAAGCTTTCGGTGGTACAGTCTGGTTATGGCAATTGACCTACTGCCTAGGTGGAAATACAAAGGAAGGAGGCAGTGACGAAAACCGCAGGGATGTAGAAAACCAAGGCACGGGGTCTAGCTACTGTCTCCTACTTAAGCCTTCCAATTGATTCTACTGAATTTTGGTCAGTCCCCAGGAAGAAACATTTTAAAGTTAATTTAGCAGACATTTATATGGCGATAAATACTACCTTCAAAAACGCTAAAAATGTTGGCTAGGTTTAGTCTGAGCTACTAAAAAATTATTATAAATTGTAGCATCAGACACGAGACAGACAAGAATTATTGGCTGGCACAGACTAGAAGCAACATTTACCTTTCACTTCAGTCTAAATCACACTAGCCGCAACACCTTCCATTTCACTCACACAAATAATACATTATTCAAAATAAAATGGAGCATTCTTGGGTAAAAAACTACTTCATTTTAAAGGGGAAAAATGAACAATACACAGAAACAAAGAACGACAGAAACCAAAGTTAAGTAGGAAAGTGGTCTATTATTCTGTGTTACTGCACAAACAGTGCTTGCTTAATTGTGCCTAGTTAGAAGGGTTGGTGCAAACCGCACACATGGAAGATGGCAATAAAGACCTCAGTCAGCTTTGTGGAATGAAGTAACTAGGTAACTGTTTTGACATATGATGGTCTCAGCTCCACCTCATCTGATAACAGAGTGCAAAGATCCCAATGTGAGCCCTGATGTCATCTTGTCCTCCTACTCCTACTAAAAATCAGCAAATTCTTTTGCACATTTTTCTGTTAGAGACGCACGAATATCTTCTTCTTCATAGTCATCAAAGTTGCTGGTATCTCCAGGGCCTCTGCACTTTGGTATGAATGGAGCTTCTACCTGTGTTTACAAAAAAAAGAGCACATTAAATGTTATCGATCTAATACCTTCAGATTTAGCACTATGATAACAGGCATAGCCATCTTCCCATTACTTCTCAAGGCCTGCCAAGAAAGTAGATAGTATAGCAAACCAGCCAAAAGTTGTGGCAAATAAATAAAATCAGGCTAAGAACATGTAGCTCTAGATGAATGAATAGATGTTAAAAAAGTCTAATACCTCATCAACAAACACAAATTTAAAATTCTTCCACTTCATAACAAATTTAATTATTTCCTTTCTGCTTTCTACTTCCAAGCACATGTAACTTAAACCTCTTCTCTTACTGGAAAGTAAAAATCTTCCTGGTAAAGACAGGCAGCTCATACTCTCAAATCCACAAACACATTGTTGGCTTTGAAATTCTGTGCATCTTATGCCAACTACATGGTAGTAAGCAATTCACATTTATATATTAGAAACAGTTGTTTTTAGGATTTTCAATACTGCTGCTTCTTAAAGCTGACAGAACCTGCTACTTTTTGATGTTGACCTTAGAAAATTTATCCATCTTCATGCAAAATTTAAATATTACTTGATGCAATGCAAATTCGAAACTATAACAACTGGGAAATGCAAAGTGATCAGATAGGTCTTTTTCTCAGGAACTTCCCAAGAAGAGTGTGTGCTTGAAAACAACACGAGCTTTCTGCATTTATGGACCATGCTACAGTTATCAGGAGCATACTGTACTGTTCCTAAAACAAGGTATCTGTTTAGGTTATGCATCCTGAGAATATTCTCAGCCTTAGTAAATACCTAGTTAATCATACACTTACCATTATCTAAATTCTATTTTTATGTCTTCTCAAATTAATTTTCAATTACTGCCTTATAATAAAGCTCGGAGAACAATAAATGTCTTATTTACTGCTGGAATTACAGAAGGTGTTCAAATGAGATGCATCAGACAGCTATTTGTGTCTGTATTTCACAACATTTTTCCTACTATTTTAACCGAGGAAATAGCTAAAAAGAGATTGCAGGAGATAATACTGTTTTACAGTGAAAATACCTGTTTGACCCTAAGTATACCATATTATCAAGCAGCATTTTAATAAATAGCCATGCAAGCACACAAAGAAAACACAATTTTATCTCATTTGAAATATTAAGTAACTGAACGTATTACTTAAGACTGCAGCATAACAATATTATTCCTATTTGGTTAGCTGCCAAGGAACACTAGGTTTATACAGGAAAATCCATGCTGTGTTAACAGCTTGTGTGAAGCTGGCATAAACTTAAGTTTTTTGCTGTATTTCAATGACTGCTAAAATGAGACTACAATATACACTGTTGTTTCAGACCTCTGGTATTACTGTATTTATTTTGTAGAATTAGAAGCTTCGAAGTTCTTCTGCATCACTTTACACAGTCCTTTAAAACTAATAACAGCTATTCTGCCTGTAGTACCAGTTCATCTTTTAAAAATATTTATTGTTTCTGTAAAAGTAAATTTCTACAGCAGTGTACTAAAAATGCTACCTTCAATAATATAATTTTATATAATAAATTATATTATATTATAATGCTTCAAAATAATGGGGCCTGGGTGTCCCAAAAGAGCATACTATGGAATGAAACTAATAGTGTTTAAAATTATCTTGTAAACAGGCATTAAGCAAGCAGAGAGCAGATAATTACAGTTCTGCAGAGGGAAATCTTTTCTTAAAACATCCATACTTAACACAATGAATATCAGATGTCTTAATTGCATCCTGTCTTCTAGTAATTAATATATAAGCAAATGCCATAACAACTGCACTGTCAGTTCATGTAGCCAAACAACCAGTTTCTTTTTATAAACTATTGTTAGTACCTAAGTTTGTCCTTTGAAATACTTCTGTTACAGCAGCAAATTCATGCCTCTAGTCAAGACTGTTTCATTTCAATGATGGTAAGCAGCTCCTTGAAGTGTTTGTTATTCTATAGTATGCAACCTTTTTATCAAATTCTGAATACTAAACGATTCTTCCACACGATTCTTCTGGGACAACACCAACAGAATTATTTTAGTCTTTTTTGGCATTTATTGAAAAAAAAAGCAATTCAGAGGTTGCCTTAAAAGAACAAATAATTTCTAAACAATCCATTTCTAGTAACTCACTAATATACAGACAACATTCAACTTCGACTTTGAATACTAGAATTGCTAGCTTCAACTAGCTTCCATGGGAGAGGGAGATCTGGAGCTACTGGAAGACAGACCTATGCTGAACTGCAGTCATACTTCCTCTTTTCCCCAGCGTCCTTTCCAAGCCCTGTCTTACTCATCCCTGAAAGCACTACTATACTCCTCTGGTTTGCTACTGGCTCCCCATGCTCTCCAAATCCCCCCAAGTTCTCTGTTTTACTTTCATTCTTATGCAAGGTCACAGTGCATACTGGGCACCAAACTTATTAAATGCCACATTAGATTTCACGTTGGACAGGCAGGTCTAGAAAGCCATTCTAAAAATATCACAAAATAGGATTCAGAAGGGCTCTGTAAGTCACTGCTGTGATTTATGAAACCACAATCAGCTGCAGTGTAGTGTCAGGATGAAAATATCTCCAGCAGATGCATACATGTGAACCTGTTCCAGTCACAGGTAAGGCAAGAGCAAGAGCAAAAAGGGAGAATACTATTTCATCAGAGAGAGTGGTACTTCAGCTTTGGCTAGAGTTTCTCCCCAGTAAAGCACAGCCTGACTGCTAAGAAGTAGTTGGAAAGGAAAACAGATTCCTCTCTGCTGTGTAGTATTTATAGATGCCATTATAGCAGGGATTAAATAAAAAGCAAGAGAGGCAGGAGATGGCTCATTCTGAGATATTCCAGGAATAGACTAAAGCACAAACATGTGTTAAGACAACATGAGTATATGGAGGTCCAGGATAAAATGGCAACAAGAAACAAACATAATTCAATCAATATATAATCCTCAATCTTATATGTTCAACTACTTTCACATTTTCTCATTTGAAAAATTACACATTTAAGAACGCTAAAATTAACAAAATAATTAGAAATTTGACTTCAACTTCTCATTTGATTCAGGAAGTGTCTTACCTTTCTCTGATAAATGGCAATCCAATCTGTAGTCGCAAACCACTTGTGGTTCTTTATGTCATTTACACCATTCTTGAGATTTCCATATCGTTTGGTCAAATCTACCTGGAGTAAATTTCTTAGAAGATCCTTTAGGTCTGAACTGAAGTGTGATGGGAACCTTACCTGAAATGTACATCCACAACATTAATGTACAGATTTGATTCTTCCCTTGTATAAGCAAAACAATGTTCATGCAAAGAGAAGCACTGGTGCCACTTTCTGCTTCAGAAAGCCTTTACCAATAGCATTACCTTCTCCATCTATCATTTTCTGATCTGGAATTTTCTAGATTTGATTGAGTTGGGGGGAAAATATTAATTTAATATAGCAAAGACGTAAAAGCTAAATCTAAATATTACTAACTAGTTTCACAACAACACAACCACATTTCAAGGCATTCTCAACTAATTTCTGGGACCCAATTTTTAAATTACATGCATAAACACACTACATATGCAATTCGTATATACAAGTAATACATACACACACACTCTGTGTGCATATATAGATAGAATATATATAGTAATAACATTCATATACACCAAGTATTCTAAGTAATGAACTAAATGCACAACAAATTAAACTATTAAATTAAGGTTTAAAGGAAATATACTGAGATATGAGATACAAATATACTGATATATGAGAACAGAATACTAGAGTTTCCAGTGCTCGAGTCCAGTGCTGTTTCCACAGCCATCCACTCATGGACTTAAGAACAAATCAGATGATAAACAGTAAATATGTAAAGCAAAATAGGTAAAATTTGAAAACAACAAAAACAAACAAACAAACAAAAACCATCAAAACTACAGCACTTAGCTGCTGCAGAAGAGAACTACTATGAATTATGGAAACACTTTAGAGCTTCTCAAAAGCTATAAAGACATTTCTATAAAGAAAATAGCGAGGTAAACAACGTACTGGTGAGTGGTTGTTAATAGTTACTGAATCATTTTTTTTCCAAGCATAGAAAGGTATAATAATACCGTGCTGTAAATTTAAAAATATGCATTTTAAATTTGATGTCAGGGAACTGTGCAGGCTGCAAACACCTGGATTCTTAAAGCTTTGGTTATTGTTACTATCACAATGCCTGTACCTAATAAGTATTCACTACAAATTCTTCCCATATTCATAGAAAGTTTGGTTTGGAAAGGGACCGTTAAGATCATCCAATTCCAGTCCTCTGCTATATTCATTCCAAATTGCTCAGTGTCCATAGCATCCAGTGAATTTTGCATCAACTCCACATAAAAATCAGGTACTACAAACACAGTGAAAAACAAACTGTGCTTATGAAAACATACAGAGTCTTTACTTACCTTGCCAGAAACAATCTTCTCATAAATTTGAATGGGTTGATCTGCAAAGAATGGGGGATATCCAGCTGCCATTTCATAGATTAACACTCCTAATGCCCACCAATCCACTGCCTTGTTGTAACCCTGGATAAAACCAGAAAAAACACAGTTAGCACCATTTTTAAAAGAGTTTAACATTTGCTATATATTGTAAAGAAAGAAAATATAAAAAATATATATATTTTTGCTTATTTAATACACCCTAGTTCAAAACAAACTGAAGTTCTCCAATTTTAACAGCAATACTGTAATGAAAGCAAAATACTTCGCACAAATTCTTGTGTTGATTCCCAGCGATATTGGATATATAGAATATATAAATACAGAAAACCCTCCTAGCCCCAATTTCATGTGCTCCCTCTGAGATCTTTTACAAAGCTCAAGGTCAAGACTCAGTTGTTCTTGAATAATCAACTATGGAGAATTTGTAACAGAGGCATTGCAACTTCCTTTGCTGCTTTATAGGTCTAACATCATAAAAACCAAAAACATCCAACACTTTCTCCTAAAGTAAAATTTTTTTCTGTTTAAAGACCTACAAAGGGTATTTAATTAAACTACTCAGTGAATAATTTAACAAGATTATGAATATAATGAACAGTTCCATGAACTATAAAAATTTTTCTTTTGCAAAACATTAAAAGATACCACAGCTATAAGATTTCTTCAGTGTTCAAATAGAGTACAAGTATGAGGCTGCGTATAATTTACATGCAAGACCGGTGTTTTTCCATGTTTGATTCATGTGCTTTAAACATAAAACACTGCAAGTAGTTTTTCAATGACTACTGATTCAACCATTACGCAGTTCTGGAGCTCCTCTTTTAGTCTGTTAACACTTATGATGCAAAACTTGCATTTTGTATACTTCACTACAACTTGTCAATAATTTGAATTTTCAACTACCAGCAACTGTTCATCCCTCAGAGATTAATAATTAGGTAATATCTTTTAATCACACCAAATACATGACGGACAATTATCATTTATAGAACTGATGTACCTTGCTGAGAATTATTTCAGGTGCCAGGTATTCTGGAGTCCCACATAACGTCCAAGTTCTTCCTTTTACTCTTTTTGCAAAGCCGAAGTCCGTGACCTGGCATCAGAATTTAAAATTAAGTACCTCTGAAATATTTTGGAGAGGAATTTTATACATGGGAAAAATTTATGTGTCAGATCACACGCTATCACACAGTCACATGCATCCTATATGGCAACTTTTTTCCAGTAATTTTAATTCACTTACAGTTGTTTTGTTTTGTTTTTTTTTCATGATAAAATAAATAACACAAAAATAAATATTCTCTCCCTCGAAAACTCTTCTGTTTAGAATTTCAATAATCAGTAGGAGCTACAACTCCCTCATCTGTACGTACCACAAAATATTAATATATTTTCTTTTACTTTTCACATCAGACTGCTTATACCGCTAAAAATTCTAAGAATGTAAATATAAACAAGATATTCATTTTTTCCCTCAGTTGACAAATAAATGAATCACAAAAAGGGTTAAGATATCAGAGAATCTTGGGGAAGTTTTCATAGCAGAAGTGTATGAAAGTTATAAGGAAAAAATAGTGTGGGAATATGAGAATGTAGAAGAGGTCTTCCAGTAACTTCTCATTCTGAATATCTTTGAAAGCATCACCAGAACCCAGCTTACTTATCTGAAGATTGTGTATGTGGGGAAAATGTAGCTGTAACTGTAGTCACAAATGACAAGTTCTTGGCAGTTAAGGATTCTTCATTCCACTTGTCATGTTTTCTGCAGTAAGTTTTCAGAACTTTGCATGCTATTTCATCTTTCACGCTGGGAGTTTTCCTGGACCATATTGCAGAATACATATGGAAGCCAGCAGGTTACTTTTGAAATTCTGGGACCAGTTTCAACCTATCAAGTCTTTGCTTATTTGAGGATCCATTCCTTTTATTTCCTCCTTCTTGGTATCACTATTACACAACAACTTGTGTCAATGTTTCTGATACAGTAAGGTCACACAGAGATAGTTAACAAGCTAAATGCCAAACTATCAAGGCAGCTTTTGCTTCATTTTTCATAGAAACAACAGCAATCACACCTGCAACTGAATGGAGAGAGCAAACATGCTGACCTGCTTCAGTCAGCAAAGAATTCCTGCTGTGTTGGTGAATACATATTAATCTGAGTAAGAATATACTGCAGGCATGGGACAAACAAGTAACTGTTTTAAAATTCAAAAAGAAAACTAATGGAGCTTTTAAACAAAGTTTAGTTGGAACTGCAGCATGAACACATGAACATCAAACTCCCTTTGTTTAGAAGCAGAAACTAAAGAACCTGCCATGGGAAGACTGACTGCTGGCTCTGCTACCATTTGCAATTTGCCCACCATCATAAAAATGTATTGTTCAATACAGAGAGTCAGCAGTTCTACAGAAGACATTCATAGGTTTATGTTCATGGTACTCTTTATCCACATTAATGAAATTCATATCTCTCTTCTCTCTACAGTGTTATTTTGTTTTCTATGCAGTATTACTGTACTGTTAAAAAAGCTCAAGTTAAGAGTCCTTTCCACTTCTCTCCATGTTTTCATAATTTATTTTACTGTTAGACTTAGGCTAAAGGTGACACTACGAGGGAAGAGAAGCTTCCACAGTGTAAGAACCGCAAGGTACTGCAGAATGCTTGTTGCTGTACATCACTTTCCCATTCGCCGTTTTGATCACAAGCAGAGAAACTAAAAAGAAGTTGAAGCGGTGCTGAGAAGCTGTTGTAAAACAAATCATTTGCAGCACTGCAATTCTGATCTGAATTGCCGAGAAGGTTATGGGCTCTACAATGCTGTGAGACTAAGTACTGCCTGAAATTAAGTACTATACTGCAGATGTTGACATCTAATCATCTTCAACTGCTTATATAGACAATGCAGAGAATCAGACACTGTAGGGTACCTTCTCATTTTAGGGCAGATGTATAATATAGCTCAGATGAACAGAGCCACATCATCACCTCCTCCTCACCGCAGACCACAGGGAGAATCCTGACAACTTGGCATAAGCAATGAACATGCACATACTTTGTTTCGGTCACAGGAAGTTCAGCTCAGTGATGCCCCATAGCATATGCTAACATGCCAACCAGCTCACTTATTCTAAACATATTTGCTACAGTTACCTAAATGCACTGTGAAATGAGAGTCCACTCCCCAAATACATGAAGACTACCATACCTGGATGTATCCTTGCTGATCAATTAAAAGATTTTCAGGCTTTAGATCTCTGTAGATGAGGTCTAATGAATGGAGGTACTCAAATGTTAGCACTATCTGAGCTGCATAAAACCGTGCATGTGGTTCACTGTGAAGAATTAAAACAATATTAAGGAACTCAGTGCTATGCCAAAATACTGAAACAACCACCAGATTGCCAGAGACAGATCTTTTAATCAGTTCTTGTATTGTATACTAAGAACAAAAAGAAAAACCAAACAAAAATCTATATCAAACACAACCCTCCCCCAACCACTGCAAAAACAACCAGCAAATACTTTAGAACTGATACTTCCATACATTAAATCTAATTTCTTAGGTTTTGCATTTAAAATATATTTTCAAATCAAGATGGTTGTACTGTACCGCATAGAACTTAAAAAAACTCAGATTTTAAACTTCACTTTTCGAAACCATTATCAGTTTCAGTGCCAATGTGCATAACAATTCCTAATTACAAGAATTAGGAAATGGAAAAAAAAATAGAAAAAAAAGCAGTTCCTAGATTCTACTATGCCTAGATTACTAACACCTGTATTAAAAAAACTGAAAATTAATTATAATTTTTTCATTGCATATATTAGTCTGCTAAAAGAAGGCAAATTTAAATGCACTTATCCCTTCAGAACTTTTTCATTAACAGTAACACATTTTATGAAACTCTTCCCACATTAGCAGTATAACTATTTTTGAAGGAATATTTTTAGTAAGACTTCTTACCTGAACCTTCCGATTCTTCTTAGATGTGAGAACATTTCACCACCAGGAACATACTCCATTACCATGTATAAATTAGAATTGTCCTAAAGAAGCAAATAAATACACATAAATATGTACTAGACATTCTATAGTGTTTATAATTCCAAGATACAGTATATTTTAGTAAAGAATGAAAGTGAAAAATTATAGCCATCCAATGACCTTAATAAATAAAAAGAAACACAGGTAAAAAATTCTTGGAAAAATGCTGACACTCGACAAAAAGGAGTATCAGAATGTCAAGAAATCTACTAAAATTAATATTAAAATATAACGATATAACGATAATTAGTGGGCTCCTGACACAGAATGGTGTAGAATGATATGAAGGAGCAAAGAGTGAAATGCTGACCACAAACTATGTACTTGCACTCTTAAGTCTACAATATCATAGACTATATTATTACAATATAATCTTAAGCCTATAATATTCTCATCTCCTATAGCTCCATCCCCAAACCTCAAAGTCATAAACATTAAGCTAGAATGTCTGTTCGTTTAAAATGCTATAATAAAAATAAAAATAATTTTAAAAAGTAGTAAATATTCACAGGACACATATCACTATTAGCAAAATACTTGATTTCTTTACAGACCAACAAGCACATGCTGTCTTGGAGTTAGAAGCTAATCTTGAAGTTCTCACTAAGATTGCCACTGAATCCTGCTCCAGATAACAATCTCACACAAATAAGCTGCATAACAACTACAATTTTTCCTAAAGTTTGGTCATGTACTGCCCAGAAACTCAAATAATTACTTTCAAAGTATTGATTACCTTAAAAGAATACTCCAGTTTTACAAGGAAAGGGAAGTTCACTGCTTGTAATATTCTCTTTTCATTCAGTGTGTGTTCTATCTGCTTCAGCTTGACAACCTAGTACAGAAAAAAACCAAAAAAATCTCCAGCCTATGACATTTTATAATCACCAATATATTTTTCAGAACAACAAAATCATTTGAAAACAAGCACATATCTTTACAGACAGCCAAAATCCTAACAGATTATTGGCACAGTAGAAGTAATGAGAAAGGAATGAGAAGGATAACCATTCTAAAGAGTAATACTCATGTTATATGGTCTGCAGATAACTCAAGAAACACCAGTTCTTCCTACCTGCTGAGGATAAGAATCTGTAAGGAAAACATCTTTTTACATGTTCGTAAGAATTCTTTGATCTTATAACAGAGATACTTCCGCAGCAAGACAACCCAGTAAAAATCGAGTAATTCTGACTTAGCTAAGAAAGGCAGGAAATTGCATCATGTATTTAATTATGAATTTTGTTACAAGTGAACAAAGTAAACTGATTTACTTTACAGAGTTCACACATTAGTGAGGAGAAGACTAAGGAAAACATACATTCAAAGTTTCCATTCTTATGAACAGTTACTTCAGTGACATTTCAATGAATTTTGCTTTTCTGCATTATATCAAACTGCTTGGTGACAAAACTAAAAAATTAAATGCTACCTTCTTGAAATACATTACAGTGTTAAGCTACCAGCAAGGCAGCAAGTGGTAGATTGCTGATCACTTCTTGGGAATTAGCAATTTGTTTCCTGATGTTAAGCCCCATTTTACTTCATCCATATTACTTAATTTATCTGTATCTTCAGAATGACATAAAGTCACACTTTTTTTCTGCACTGGAAACACGAAAATGTACAAGGCTGATGAAAATAAGTCTGTTTTCACAAGTTTGGAAAGCAAATGTAAGTGCTATAAATAACAGATAAGCACGATACTCCAGTCCTGACTAAAACGGTGTTTAAATTTAACTATCCTTTGAATGAAAATAGTATTAAAAATGGTGACTTTTTTTTTTTTTGTAAGAAATGTCATACAAAAGAAATTGTATTATTTCTGTATTGAATTAAAAGTATTAAATCTCTTTTCAATCAAGAATTTTTAGATCAAATCAAAAATTTGCACTGAGGCATAAGAACAGCAGGAAAAAAAGCAAGCACTATCAATCAGCTCACTCATGGGAAGTGTCCTCTTTGTCCCCAAAAAGCTATGGCACTGGAATTGTTTTGACCACCAAAAACAGCAAACTAAGGTTACAGTTTGATACTGCAAAGCATTCAGCTTCTAGATAAGATTTAACCCTTTCTGCAGCTTCTGCTGTAGAAATAGTGGAGGGTGATCATAGCAATACCACAGGCCGAGACTGCTACTTAGCACTTCATGCTATCAAATTGGAGCCTCAGCTAACACAGCTTTGCTCTCACTGAATTCTGGCTAAAGGCATGTCCAACGTCACCTTCTAGATCAATGATATCCACACCAGCAGTTTAACTCATAAATTGCTTGGGTCTGAGCTTTTGTTAACATTACTTATCTTCCAAAAGCAATTTTGTAATGAAAGTATGCATTCTTATGAGGTCTGCTCTGAAAGCTTGCCTTCTATTTTGTTATGTTGGCCGACAAAGTCAGAGGTAGATGTTGGTGGGATGGCAGTAGAGGCTGAATCCTCCCACCAATACCCCATTACATGTTGTTGCCATGTGGCAGATGGCAGCAAAGGGGCAGTTTGACAGCATGGAGTCTGACATGTAGGTGCATATGAAGCAAAGGAGTGTCAATGAACTCCTTCCAGTGGAAGAAATTGTGTCCACTGACATTCATCAATGCTTACTGAACATTTCTGGAAAACAAACAGGATTTGAGCACAGTGAGACAGTGGGTGGTGCATTTCAGCAGTGCTGACAGTGACAGTGGTCACCACCACTGTTACAGAACCCTGTGAGCACAGCATGCAGGCCCTTGTTCATTGCTGGCAAAAACGCACAGCTAATGGTGGTGACAATATTGAAAAATGGAATTCTGTAGCTATTTCCTCTGTCTTATGGTGTTTTTGTGCTCTTCGTATCTGTCATTATTTCCGCAGAGATAAATAGGAGGCATCACTTTCAGTGGCCTTCATATATTACATCCTTGCTAGGTCAAGGCAGAAAAATAAAAGAATAACAACCCTACTAACAAAACTACTGGCTACTTCAATATATACTACATATTTCTTTCCTATCCTAATGAACCAGACTTAAGTTTTGTTAAAAAAAAAAATAGTCACCGCATTGGCCATCCATCCTGTTCAATATTCCTTCAAATATTTCCATGATGATCTGTCCTTTGTGACGAAGGACTCATAAATTCTCCATAAAACTTACTGAAACTGGCAGAAATTTCCAAAAGGAAATATAGCTGTGTATTTGATAAAGAGATGATTAACAGGAAACCACTACCAAGAAGTAGTTCTTGCAATTAAAATACAAAGCAAACCCTTTTCAGAAATGACTGAGCTCCTAGCCATTTTCCTTGTTTGTATAACAGCAGCTGGACTTCCCTGTGATCCTCTATGGTAACAAAGGGCAGCAATGCAGCCAGCCCCAGAACAAGAAGTGACTGATTTCTCTATGCCTAAAAATCCCAAGGGCAAGCTGGCTGGGCTAGAGAGGCAATGTTTCCACATCCCACACTTGGTTAATGTGCCTTGGTAATCAGAAGAGACTGGAACACTGCAATAAGGCTTCTTTGCAAGAGGGCTCCCCAGTTCTCAAGGAGCTGGACAACACCAGGGTGTAAAGAGCTTTCCTTGGAATCGACAGCTCAGTGTGGCTGCAGACTGCCAACACAGCACCTGGCACCATGGGACCAGATGCTGACATCAAGGTTTGTACACAGGGTAATTCAAATGCCCAAGGCCTGGTTCCAGCCCGAGCACTGGAAGAAAACTAACATGATAATTGACTTGTGTACTTCATCATGGAACAGCAGACAGCAAGCCACCTAGCTTCCTAATGGAGAACCAACATAACTAGTTGCAAATATCTTTAAGCCTGTGAGAATGTTTTATTGTAAATCCACTACAAGCATTAACAATGTGATTTTTTTTTTTTTTTTTTTTCCAGATAATTTTATAGCTACAGCTATCCAATTTCCAATTTTCCAAGTCAGATAACCGGCTCTTCCCACAGGCACAGGATGCTTTCACTCATCACACCCTGTTTTACAGGGAGACTTCTTGCAGAATTTCATCAGACATAATAAGGGAATGAAGTGTTGAAATGGTCAATCATTTCAAACAGCCTTTCAAATTTCAAATAGCATTTCAAATGGCCTTTCATTTGTACTGTGTTGGGAAGTCTTTTTAATTTAAGTGGATATTTTCTGTCTTTAAAAAAAAAAAAAGAAGTTAGGAAACATTCATAAGAGAATGCTAAAGTTGAAAGAAAAAAAAAGAGCTCTTTCAAGTAAAAGTAATGCCAGAATTTATGCTATAAAGTTTAGTTTCCTAAGTCTTATAAAGGAGTCTTTATTAAATTACACATTAAAATTTGTGCAACTGTACAAGAGAAACACAGTTTAGTCACAGCCACCAGATTTTGTCTACATCAAACCCTTCTGAACCACAAAAACGCAGTAAAAATTGCACCAACCTTTTGTTTGTCCAGTATCTTCATGGCATAATACTGTTCTGTGGCTTTATGCTTCACCATCATAACTCTCCCAAATGATCCTGTTCCAAGAGTTTTTTGCCTCTCAAAATCATCTAGGCCAGCAGTATTCTACACGTAAAGGGATAAAATGATATTATTTACAATCTAACATCAAGATACAACAAAATATAGGCAACCTAGTGCTGTTTTATGTTGTCATGCCTATCAAATTTTAATAAGATTTTATATTTTACATTGCACTCATTAAAACAAAAAGACTTAATTGAGTTGTATTAACATTTCAATAATTTGTCTACACAGATGACAAATGCTTAGTAAGAGGGAGACTAACAGTAAGTAGATCACGAATTTAAGGCACAAATAAATAAACAAACTCCCCAGTGCTCCACAAAGCAGAAAATTAGAGCAAAATCCTAGAACCAAACCACATATAAATTGTCTGGAAGAAATATCACTGACAAAACTTCCTCAGTTACTCATTATCAAAGTATTTCAAATGCTGCTTCAATAAAATAGCATCATGCTTTCCACTGTCCCCATCCCTCCTCTCTATGAAAAAGCCCACTCCCCTCAGTCTCTGAACAGATTATTCTTCCAAGCTCCTCAGCCTGCCCACAAGCTTCATGCAATATATTCTTTATTAACAACATAAGAAAATATCAGCAAGGTAAATTACAGATTCGCCAATGGTTACTGCTACAAAGAGCCAGGTAAAATATGACCATTGATTTTGAGTTTTCTCATGTTGATGGCAAACATAATTCAGTGCAAGAAAAAGCAGTTGCTCAGTACGACCATTTCATCAGCTTAGTCTGGAGGTCTGAGTCTTTCCTGACAAACGTCAGTGACAAAATTAACATTCAAAATGGAAACTCTTTTGAAAAATGCATTAAACTTATTTCAGTCTTTTCTGCTGCTCATTACACTGATCCACACTTATATGAAAAAATGCTATAGAGAAAATTATTAAATTATTAAGTGATACCTGAGGTGGGCTTTCCCATTTTCTTAAAAAGTCTTCTTTGGCTTTGGCTAGGAACTCTTTCACTGAAAACACACACAAAACCAACATTTTAATTAATGTAAGTCATCTTGGATGTGATAGAGATGCACTGTTTACAAAATATATGAATTTCATTATCAATTCCAATCTTCAGTTCTTAAGATACTATTTTGTATCTTCTATGGTGAGCACCAATGTCTCAGAATCCTACAATTATCTCCAGGTGATCTCTAAGCTTCCCGGAGTAGTTACATTATTCCACACACTTTAATTAAACTACACCAGCTGTAGTAGCTCAAAATACTGTGTAAGCAAGCAGGCTTTAAGGTGATACAAAACTTTCTTAATTTGATTGGGAAAAAACCACAAACACCTGATGTATAAGTAGCCATTCAACAAGGATAATTTGAAATAATAATACTTCTTTTTTTTTTTCCTTTTCTTTCAACTTATTAAGACTTATTTCAATCTCATTGCTTTCCCTCCACCCCATCACCTTTAAATAAAGGCTGTTTGCAAGCTCCAGTACCAAAAGCACAGCATTACTGCAAGCAAAGACAAAGCACAGGGCTACAACAACACTGCACGTTAGATGTGCCCACAGTCAGAGAGTAAGTATTCTTAATTTTGCACTGAGACACAAGGAATGAATAAATGCAAAGTTCTAGATGACCATTTAAAATGTGCACCAACATTTTTGGTTCAGATAATCTTTCACTTCTTGTATTTCTCTGAATATCAATTATCAGCCAGATCAAAGTAGGTTACTTAATGCATAGTCATAAATGAGAGGCATTTCAGAAACTGCCATGATTCTGAAAAAGTCACAGAATTGAGAAGAAAATATCATACTGTTTTTGTGTTTTCTGAGTCACTACACATAATGAAATATTAATAACAGTGGATTTTGTGTATTGCAATGTTCAGACCTAAGCAATTTCTAAAAATACTCAGCAACGTGTCAAGATTATTCTGGCCAGTATCTGGAATTTTACAGTTTTGGATCTGCATTTCACTTTCTGAAGCTCATAGAGACCTTTTCTCTTACCATTTTTCTGTGACCGGTGCAGTATCTGCAGTGATAAAAACAACGGCAGCCTTGGAATAGACTGGTCACTAATTCTGGTTTTCTTTCCCTCTCACCTGTGCTATAGGATTCAACTGTAGCAAAATACTCAAGAAAGGGGGGCTTGCAGCTCCCTCCATCACTGACTCCTATAGAATAGCATCAATGCAAGGCAAATTTTAGACAAAATGTCAAAAGAGCTGGCAGACCTCAAGGTTAGAAAAGTGTTTAAAACATGAGACATGCACAGTAATTTTATCTTAAGAGGAACACGTGATAATGTATTCCTTCTCTCTATTACTTTAAACCTATGTGTAAGTAGAATAGAAAAACATTTTATGCCAAAGGAATTACATTAAATTGGCATTTAAACTGACTGTAAGTTAAATGTATTTTAGTGGGGAGCCAATAAGACGTTTGACAGTTGTCCCAAGTAGGGAAAATGTCTTACTGTTTTGAAATTTTTGGGGCTATTGGGAATATTGGAAATCAGGGCATTCTCAAAATGAGGATCATCAATCCTCATCATTCAATGATCTAAAGATCCTCATCTGAAAAAAAGACTGGATATCCTATAACATGGAATTCTCTACACAAAAAAGGAACCTAGCAATGTCTAAGTTCAGGTCTAATGATCCTCTTCTTCCACTAGGAGTACTGAGATGACAACTGATTAGTTTGATGACTACCTGCAATTTTTTTTTTTTTTAGTGTAAGTTGACTCCAAAGTAATACGACTTATTTTTTTCTTAATGTCAAGAAAAAAAAGTTAAGATGATCAGTACAATTACCAAAAAAGCCAAACCTTCAGACTTGTGGGCCTTCAAATTTTCAGGGACATAGTTTAGTGGGCATGGTGGTGATGCGTTGACAGTTGGACTATACAAACAGTGGTCTTTTCAAATGTCAATAATTCTATGTTTCTAAGCAGCTGTAGACAATTAATTAACACTGTTTTAAAAATACAAAGCATAGACAAAACATGAAGTTTTAATTTGCTCATGTTATTATGGTACAGCATGTCTTAAATATCCCTTGCAAAATTTCCATTGTTCATATAAAGAAATACTTCATGTTTCTGCATTTCTTGCACTGGAATATAATTTTCAGTATTTATAAAAATATACCATGACATTTTTATGTAATCATCTCTGTTTCAGTTCTTCTTATGGATGTTTATGAAAAAAGAATGTTTATGAAAAAAATTGAAATCCAGATGGAAATATTCAAACTGTGGATTCATGGGAAGAAGAAGCCTAGTTTCTAGAAAAATCAAGAAGCCACAAGCTCTCCTACAACAGAGAACATTTAACTTACTCTACTTACGTTCCTTTTTCAGAAAGAGGCACTGAACGTGTGTTTACAAAAGAAAGCTACCTAATGGTATTAATTTATTCACGATGCCCTCATCTTTCAAGAGAAAATGTATCAAATTTTGCCTGGTTCTCACATTCAGAAGTCACTTGGGTTTTTACACCACATCGAAATTCAGGAGGTGACTTCCAAAATAATTTAGGCAACTTAAATGCACGCACTTATGTCAATTCTGAAAACAGATATTTTTAAAAAATGGATTTTGATCATGAAACAACCTCTTGATACAGAACTCACTTCATTTCTACCTTTCTAGTGCCAAATCCAAATTTATGCTAACTAGTTGTAGTCTATAGTAGCCATTGATATTATTTTGATGTTGCAAATAAACATTAAATGATGAGTTTGAAGTTTTCCTTTAGTGCACATTTTTAGCCACTTCACATTGCTACAATGAGACCCCCATTACCCCCCTCTATTTTTTCATCTTTAAATTGTTCCCAGCATCTGACTTTGGGCACTAATGAAAGAATGAGCATACCAAAGGTCTCTATAGGTCCCCAAAGGGTTTGCAGGAACATTCACCCACACAGATGAGATGATGAAGAGAGGAAAGAAAGAGAAAAAAAAAATGTTTTATGCATTTCCACAACAAACACATAGAAAACATAAATACATTTCACCCTTTCCCCTCCCCACTCAGGGCTGAACCCTGCAACAAACCAGTCCTTTCCCACACAGACAGAATGACTCACGCTACACCACGGAATGTTTGAGCAAAGATTAACAAATGAAAAATAAAAAAAGAAAGAAAAGAAAAACAACACACCAAAGGCAGCTAAATTCGATATGAAAAAAAGATGTTGCATCACAGAAATAAGCACAGCTTAAAAAATTTCAGAAGATCAAGCTGGCATCTCTAATAATTAACCTATTCCAAGACACACACACATCCAAGGAACTGTTGCTAATAAAAGTGTATCTATCTTCACTGCAGCATTCACTATAAAACCTGGAATTGGGTGATCTTCCCACTACTTAGCGCTTCGCTCCAAAAGACGACATGTGTGAACTGCACACCATGTGGTGGGCAGCACAGAAATGGAAAACAGTCCCCAAAAAATTCAAAACTGCATTTCAATCCCATTACCCAACAGCAGCAACAAAACCATTTGAGAAGCCTGAATCACACAGATGAAGTTACCCTACCCAAAGCGCAACGTGTACTTGAGTTCTCTGCAGTAGCTGTATAAATACGATTTAATTTTATGAGATAGGCACAAAAGAGCCACAGCCAAAAATTCTGGGAGCACCAGTAAGGAACCAGCTGGGAGCAAACAGGCTACACACAGACCAGTGAGCATGAGCAGGCCCCATTGACCTAGCTCTCATTGGCAGTCTCAGCCCTTAGCAGAAGCAAGTTTCATGCAAGGCAAACATCCAAAACCGCAGCAGGAAATCAGGGGAGGTTGAGAAAAATATAGTTAAGAAGTGGAGTAGTGACCAAGGAGTGAAGACTGAAAACTTTTTATAAAACTGAAAGACAGGTTTAATAACCTCTGTCTGGTCAAAGGGAATCCTACAGGTGCACACAGGGCCAAATGCTGCCACTTGTGTATTGCGGATGATGTTGAGACTAGGCCAAAGGACATCTGTACCCATAACAAAGGGAAAATGGTGATAAGTGGGAAAGCCTTCTAAAGGGAAGCAGAGAGCAGGACAGAAATAGATCAAGTTCATAATAAAACACAGCCACTTCCACACACAGTGCCAGACAATGACAGTTACCAGTTAGTTTTTAACTGTCTGTGGTCATAATGAATGCAAGAGCTTCCTGTTCAAATAAGCCCTGTTTTCACGCGACAAAAACCATCTGGTCCCAACATGATGAAAAGGTGCTTGTTCAGAACACCAAAGGGAAACCCGCAGATGGTTTCTTTGGTTCAGAGAGGTGCTGCTCCTCACCTGCTCTGTGCCAGGAACTAACTGTGTACTTAAAACTTCAGCTTGAGATCCATAGGTTCCCAGGTAACACTACTAGCAAACAACGAGGTATTTTTTAAGTAACAAAAAAAAAAAAAAACACCCATAAAAACAAGCAAACAAACAAAACAAAACCAATACCACAAAACAAAACAAAAAATAAACTCCCCCCAAAACAAAGAAATCAACATTCCCACCCTCCAGCCCTCTAAACTACAGCAGATGTGGCAACTAGATTTTTTTTTTTAGTGGTATATTAATGCAGTACACAATGCATTTGTTTAATTATTTTATGGATGAACTTTTGCATGAAAAATTAGCAGAGTTAAAAAGAAATAACAAAGGGTGGATGAATATTATAAAATAAAGAGTACTCTGGCCTGTTATAGTTTAAAAGCAAATGAATCCTAGGAAGGTTCCTGAAAAACGTAAGCAGTCTGGGATGTGTCTGCAGAGATGCAATTAGGGCACAGGGGAAAGGGGTCACAGGTGGAGAAGTCCTGAAGAGTTAACATGAATTACTTTGTCTTTCTCCACCTCCCATGTGCACTGCGCTTGTTATTCTCAAGCGTGTCTCCAGTAGACAGCAAGCCTTTTTTTTTTTTTTTTTTTTTTGGTGGGGGGGGGGGGTGGGGGGGGGGAGTTTTTTAAACAGATTTATGGAAAAAAAAAAAAAAAAAA